TATGAATAAGAATACTCAACAGTGGTATAAAACTAAGGTGTATACTTATCCTAAGAGGCTATAAGTCAAGGCAATACTAAGAGGCAGAGCTCTTTCCTTTGAAATTTTGATATATTAGCGAAAGCCACATTCATTATATTGGTGAACACGGAATTTGGGCCAAATAAACATTATATATCATATTTATAACATGTAACTAAGGATTTAATATGAAATATGCCTTTAATGACTGTTTTATAGTAAACAAAAGGAAATATATAATCTACTTTTGATATTGGAAACTGCTCTGAAGGATATGTAAACATCAATAGCTTTTGCATAATAAAATGTTCTGAGAAATTTTGTTATGATTAAATCAATATTATAATTAAATCAAAAAAATATATGGACTAGTTATTATATCATTTAGATAATCTATCAGTTTCTAAACAGTTTTGTTGTATTCCTTGAATGGCTAATGACAAAATATGAAGGTTTTGGACATTGTTGCTCCTGAAATATTTATTATTTCAGCTATATTTAGGTTACATTATGTTAACGCAGTTTTCGAGAACAAATTAGAATCTAATAAGAAGAAATCCCTGTAAGAAAAATGTAAACAAACGTTGAGGTTAGGAGTTACTTACTTGCATTGAGTCGGCACTGATGATTTCGGTTCCAAATCTCTGGGCTAACTCTAGGCTTAACTTAGTTTTACCAGTTCCCGTAGCACCTAAAATCACCACCATTGGTATTTTACACGAAATAACAGTTCGAAAAGCCATCGCGCGCAATTAGGCTTACGTTAGCCGTCTCGCAACTAACTTCACTTCTATTTTCATACCTATTTTAACGTAACGATGACCAATACGTTTCGTTAGACGCAGAAATTAAAGACTTAATTATTTATTAACTTGTGCTTGCGAAAGATAGGAAGTGAAGATTGTGAATTTAATCATTTTAAGTTAGATAATTAGTAAAATATTTTTAAAATTACTTAGTCTCTGAAAGACTCTCTCGTATTTATTTGTGATCGATTTCAAACTTTATGGAATTGTTATTGTATTAAATCAATAAACACGATCATCAGAAGTATACATAACATCTTTAATAATTATATTACAACACATTGTAGGTATATTGATTTATGCGTTGATACAACCGTGAAACACATTTCTTGCTGCGACCTTTATAATCTTGCTGTGATCTTACTAGAGTTAAGAGTCTTATTCCGACTTCGGAGTTAGAGACAAGGCAGACTTAGAAGCACGAACTGTCTCACGTCTGTCAAAATCAAATACATTTCTGACACACAATAAAATCATACCCTAGAAATAAATGGAAAACTTTTGTACTCACTTGACGTAACTATGTGATCAGCACACCGGTATCAACAACGGCCGATGTTAATAAGAACATGTCTATAAGAAAACAGTCAGCCTTTATTCGGATTAGTATTTATATTGTGCTTAGATAATATATAATCTGGAAACCAGTTTACATCAGTGTCGACAAATTCCCTCCAGGTTTAACTATTGTCGATCTCTACCAGCGTAGTATCTCGCATCCCTAACGATGTGTCCAGTCCACATACATTTGTTGTTGTATTACTTGATTTTGGTTAATATCTGCTCTGTGTTTTGTACTCTGTTATCTACGTTCAGCATTATTTTTTTTTTTTTACTTCATTAAATATATAGGTCATGTTTGGCAGGAATATTTAATAAACTACAGTGTTTGTGTTATAACATTTTCACATAGTGATACAAATCTTGCGTTCTTCACGATATCTTTGAATGTCATTCCTAGTATGATAGTTATTTGACTATTTCTATTTGTACGGAAATATGAACTCGTATTTTAATAATTTTGACCATGTTATTTAACTTTACAAAATTAATAGAATCTAATGTATTAAGCCGGGAAGGAATGTTAAAAGAATAATACTGTTTTTTAATAATTCGTTGTTTTTATGTATATATATAATATATATATTATATATCTCTCTCTTATTATGTCTATGATAATACTAGAATAACTTAGAGAAGCCAGTATAGTTTATATTTCTTTAACTACTGTATAAGTATATCTTATGGAATAAAGAAAACAATAATAATATGAAAAACTGAAATCCATTAGCTTTTGTATGCAATTTCTAGACTAATGTGGTCACTGTGAAGTCGATAGACTTAATAGTTTAAATATGTCAAAAAATGTGTAATTTTATCTTAACTACTAGGTACTAGAGTATATTTATATTAAAGTGAAGATGGTTGGAAAAAATAAAAATGCAGCATATTTTTTTTAGGCGAGCAAAAGCAGAGTGTAGGAAACATCTCCCATTGTACCACACAGGTACATAAAATCACAGTTTCTAAACTCTAATTTAGCCTTATCCAAACTACACCAAAAACATATAAAATCACAATCAATAGCCAACTGCTTCCGCGCTCTGCTTTCATTCAACCAAATTTTATTATCATATTTAATGATTATCTTAATGTTTTTGATACAAATAATTAAGGAACAAAAACCAAAAAAAAACTTTTCTCCTCATAATAATAGTATCCAAAAGTCAGGACGTGGTAAGTACACTCAAGTCATAGATAACTAGGACGCCGCTTCAAAGATTGCAAAGTGCAACGTTTATATTAGGCGGAATTCGTATTGCGCCTTGCATTCTCTGTAGCGGCGGCGAATAACCGTCGCCTGCGCCCCGACATACCTTTGGCCAGTCGAGCCACCCGTCAAACTGTACAAATACACCAATCGACACAATTAAAAACATACACCCTTCGATTGGTCCCTAAAGCCAGGCGACGGTTAGGTCTTTCTTACGTAAGGATACTTTATAAGAAAAAATGTAATAAAAATTAAACTATAACATGACTTAATCAATCTTAAATTTAACATATACAAACTGTTTTTATTTCTCTATTTCGTTTGGCAGTGGTGGAAATGTGCCTTGTTAACGCTGTTTCGTTCGTTCTGTCTTGTCACTACCGATTATAAAGCTGGTATTCCTTAAAAATAAAACATTACCTACTGACTTTTCCTTACGTGAAAATTATTTAAAGTGTTATCACCTTAAAACCAATGTTACTTTCACATAACTAAACCTTTCACAATATTTATTATTTATGTCAAGATTAACAAAATTAAATGCAGGTACAACATTCGAGAATTCGTAACTCTCCAGTTATGAAAAAAAAACAATTACAAAAAAAAATACTCGTTCGTAAAAAAAGATGAAATACTCCTACGTTCTAATCTCTATTATTTACATTTAAGACTACTGGAAGATAAACTGTTAATCTTTAACACGATCACTATTAAACTTCTTGGTGTACTTACTTACAGAACAACGCTATCTCTACGATAATATTTCTCACAAAAAATATTTCTTGCAACTAATTCGAGTATAAACCTAATATTATATAATATGTTATGTACATAGCAAGGCACATTCCGCACACAATTAAAGCCTTCAACTTTACATATCTGCTGACATGTGCTTGATAAAACATCATTTTGTGAAGCCTGGCCCAAAACAGTTACAGACTATCAGCAATTTTCAATATCGATTCCAGAGCCAACGATTCCATTTCCGACCAGGCTTTGTTGATTTAGTCTTAACATCGCAAGTATACTACTAACTTACTGAATAAAAATATATTATAATAAAAGAAAATGCAAAATTTTCTATCAGTAGGTACTATGAGGAACTATTTCGTGGGTATTTAATGTTAAAACCCGATTCGGGTGACCTGCAAACGTAGGTTTTGATGTTATTATCAAAATACACAGTCTATTTTGTTTCGGACAGCAGTCACTGAGATTATACTTTAGTATTTATAATCACTGGAATACATAAGGCGTAAAAAAATATCAAGAAGTATATTAACATAAACTTATTTCCGAATATACGTTATACACATACAGATGAAAATGCAATGAAAGAATATATTACTACGTATAAACTACACCGGTCCAAGTATCGTCAGTAAATCAAATTTAAAAATTGTCATCAAGAAAACTTTATAAAAAATAATATTTTGTAACACGAATCAAATACAAATTTTCATGTATATATATTGATAATAGCGCAGTACTGAATGTAGATATACTAATATTGTGAATAGTTAAAATAAATGAAAACTGTCAATTATTGATAAATCGCTGGTTCAAGTCTAGAGGTTAATTGCGCGACTAAATACATAAAATCACGTAAAATTGTTAACATTTACAGAATAACAAAAACACTAAAAAAATAAGCGAACTAATCTAGGTAGTTTAAACTTACGATAATATCAAGTTAAACCATAATGACATACTACCCTGTACTCGCCGTTAAGCGAGCTTTTGGGAAAATAAAACTCCTACGAATCGGCCCGAAAACATATATAATGGCCAGCGACTTTATCATCAAAGTCATCGACACCTTCCTCTCGCCAGCCTATCTCATCTAGTTACAACCGTGTATGTACAGCATTATAACAGACTGCAATGCCCGGTTTAACTAAAAGTTTCCTTTCGATTAATTTTGCAAAATTCCTGTTGATCTGAGATAAATTGTATGTCATCGACTAATCTATTATTTATGAATCAAAAATCATTTCAGAGGTAAATACCAGTCTACTAAGTTTACGAAGCAGTCTGTCACTATTAAGTTTATTTCAATGAAGACTTAGGATTTATTAACAACGGTTTTATGGCTCACTTTGGCACTGCTATGTACATCGTTTGAGCAAACAATCTTTATCCTTCAGCATCACCACGCGATCCACAGAAGCAGAGTAAGCCGTAAAAGTTGACTAAATACAATATTTAACAAACGTTTTGTGTTCCAGTAGATTCTGGAATCTATAACACATAATAAGGTTTAATCAATCTTCGTATGTTACAAAATTGTACAAAATTTGGACGAGCCGAATTTTCATTCACTCGTCCGTACGCGTCACTCGGAAGACCGCGGCCCTCTGCGTCACATTGTTGAATTTCCAACAACTCAGCTAAACTACTCAATAGGGACGATAGCGTGCCGAGAGCATAGTACGAAGTTTCTTCAGTTTAGTAATCAGCTTGTTTTGCTGCTTTTTAAGATAATCGCGCTCTAGTTCATCCTCGCGAAGTTTACGACACAAGGCGGCCGCTTCACGCAATATAACGACTTTCGGTGCACGTTCCTTATCTTTTGTGGCTGGAATTTGCTTTTTGAGTTCATCAAAGAGATTTTTGAGACCTATGCGCCGCAAGCGTTCCATATCGTTGTGGATAGAACGACGTTCAATTTCAGGAGACTCGGCTTCAGAGTCTGTGTCAGTATTGGAGCGGCCACGTCTGCCGGGGCCTCTCCGCCGCCGAGGCACGGCAGATGTGACGCCTGTGGGTGGTACTAAGCGCTTTCTAGCCACCGGCCTCGGAGTCACGTTAACTTCTACGGGAGCTTGTATATACCGTTCTGAGGAAGACGAACCTCCACTGTAGTCGGCGCGAGATGTTGAAGCCAACGGTTGGTTACTGGTTGTACCGAGCGATACAACGTCGATTTCTTCCTCTGTAACAAAAGAAAACATCCGTTAATACCGAGTTCCTTTCAAGGTGGACAAGTTAAAGAATAAAAAGTTGCAACATTAATTATAGAACAGCCTTGCCATTTTATCATAAAAAACCCGTATAGGAGGACGATTCCTTGCATACTTTCATTCATAGACCGTTCGCTACGTTCGCATCACCATAAAAGGCGGGCGATTGTCGTAGCATCTCTATAGGTATGCGTGTCGGTCTAGATGTGGTCGTGCCGGGATGCGATTGCAGCAGTCAGGTGGGAGGGCATACTGTATAGGTGTGGGAAGGGGGGAGGACGTCGACCCCGCCGTACTACCGCAGCGTCTGTCGACATCGATCCAGACGCCTGACGTCATGGATATTCGCGCCAAAACGAGAGCGCATGCGCGATTTCTACCGCAGCGGCCGCACTCAATGGACGCTTGGTTATCAACCGGTGGGCACGCTTTCCGGCGCGTCGATGTTAGCTCTTGTTAACTCTAATTCAATTTTCCCGATCATACACCGCGCAAATTAAATCATGACGCTCCGAGTAGCTTTTTATCTTTTTTTTTTGGGGGGGGGGGGGGGGGGGGGGGGGGCCCCCTTTTTTTTTGCCCCCCCCCCCCGGCCCCCCCCCCAGCCCGGGGGGCCCGCGGGGGCGTTGCCGCCCTTTTAATCTTTTTTTGGGGGGGGGGGGGTGGCCCTTTTAATCTACATATTTTTAGCGACACTGTCCGATTTTAAATTAAAATTATGTTGGAGACGTACGGGGTTGTTGGCTTCAAAAGTGACAGCCTCAACACGGGCGTCTCCAATATATTTAATGTACCTGTCTTTTCTAGAAGAGAAGCCATAGGGCTAGTCCTCCCAAATGAACAGGATTAAGTAAGGTATGATAAAACCGAGGGAACTACCGCCTAGAATGTCTAAACTATGTAATTCGAGTCGAGCGGAAACTTGGTCTGAATTCCGATAATTTCTGCAATGATTGCAATTTGACGGAAATATCGTCGAAAGCAGCAATTAGATTACAATGGAATTTAAGTGAATGAACGCGGTGTTTAAAGACGTAGTAGAGTACTAAATCTATGGCCGCCTATTTCGCAGAAATCACCGTAAGCGCCGACACTATCCGGTTACACCAGCAACTAATTATGTCAGGTCGGTTCAAAGGTTTGACGCAACGTCTGTCCCACTACCAAATATAATAAACTTTCGATTTCATCCCGTGATACCAAAATAGATACGTGGGCAGCTGTTCCATTACGGAACGGAGCAAGTTTCAGGGACATCGGTGTAATTTGCAAACTACGCATGTAAAAAAATCGCATAATCAGACGATAAATTTACACACCAACGCGAACATCGATTTCCGCATAGTTACGTAGCCGCTTATCGCAGCAGCTCATCGGTCTAATTTTATCCTTCAGGCGCCTGTCGTCAAATAGAGCTCGCGTGACGTCTAAACGTAGGCGTGAAGGATCCATTGTGAGAGGCTCGGTTTTCACGTGATGATTTTCTCTTTTCCCCTGGCGCCATTGCGATTAACGGTCGCCGAGAGTATTGTTACAGGCCGGCGTGTAAACGATACGGCTTTATTGTGGCCAGTAGACTGGTGATCTCCGCTTGAGTGAATATCTATTATACCTATCGACAGTATTAGAGACCATACACGGATATTTCGACGTTGCAGTTAATCTAGATTACCTCTTTGAATTGTTAGCAAATTTACATACCTGTCGACCTGTGTCATACTATCTCCCACTTAGATTAGTCATAATTTCTAGGCACCAGGACTTAACGTGAGAACACAATGACTCATAGACTTGCACAGTTAATCTTAAAGTCTAGACGTATTGAATTCGCGGTTCGAAACTATACGTGTAATAACAGGTTTAGACAATATGGCCGCTTCACCGGCACTGCTTCCTTATTCATGGCGCGGTTCACAAAGTGTTTCAACAATGTTATCCCAATTATAAGGAAAGCTTGTCGAAAATTTGCGGTCTTATGAAGGATCGTTGATTCGTTATTAAAATAATTTCGAGCTTAAAAGCATAACACTTAAATTCACCTACATTTAAGGGGAGACCGTTTTGAAAGCTTTGGTGAAAGGGTTTTAGACTGCAGTAATTGTCTGCGTACTCGGATTGTCTGTTTTTAATTAACGTTTAAATGAACACTTGTGAGATTTCGTGGAATAAATTAACAGTTTTACGAATTACAATAATTCTATCGTTTAGAGGATTATCGTATAATGGAATAGTTTTGGTGGGTCAAATGTATTAAGTTTGAATGCAATAGTTAAAACGATGTCGTCAGGTGTGACCTGCTATGTCTGGGGCCTCATGCTCCGCTGACTACAATCCGAGGCCAAGTTCACTGGCATTTGAGCGTGATAATTAAAAATTATCATGACGCGCTCGCGGCTCACGCTATCCTATACAGGTTGTTTGATACAGCCGCCTCCATCCATTCATTCTCATAAAAAGCAATCATTGCCCGAGATGCTTAATCCTTAATGGACGTCCACTGCGAACGACTTTGATGACTTAGCGTTATCGGAAACATCGAACACGATTTTTTGTTGCAGTATATACGAATAAAATGTTTCACTGATATATTAGCAAATGAAATAAACAGAATTATTTAAAAACCTAATCTTTTTGTAACAGCCTGTAGCATTTGTCTTAGGTTGTATAGAAATGCTAATTAGCTTCGATAGCGTACTCGTTCTATTATAAGTTGCTTATAATTTTTAATAGTACACTTTCTTATTGCTCAACCGTCAACCGGAAACAGCTTACCTTAATTAAACGTCATAAAAACAGCTTTACTCAAACATACTTTACACTAAACACGAGTGGGGCGTTCTCATAACTTGTCATGTATCTCACATATTTGATTATTTGCTTAAATGCCGGCCTATATTTTTAGAACATTACACAACCGACAGAAGTCGGTCATATCGGCCGTAGTGAGTACATATAGCTGGATGCCTTCTAAATTTGACAGTTGTAATTTATGGCAGCGTTATGGCGGATCGATCGGGCGTTCGACCTTGGCGAGTTGTGCGGAAGTTCATGGACGTACACGCGCGGGCAAAGATTTTTGGTTATGCCCATACAACGCCCAGCGGAAAATTCGTTTCGAACAATCTGTAGCTATTATATCAAATACAAATTAAGGTTTCTAAGACGATTTAAAGCTATCAATAACTGCTCTTAATTACTGGGATATCGTCGTATAATTAGGATGTGGATGCAATTAATTAGAATACAAACACAGTAGTGACCTATCTAAATGTCAACGAGGTCAAGAGTACCACTGAGACCGCACCAATGAGGGGTTTCCGGAGTTGTTTGGGAAACCGGTTGCGTTGCGTCACTAATTTTCTGTATCTAACCGCCACACCCGTCGATTTATAAACTGGTGTCAATATATTCAACAGCCTTATCACCGTGTGAACAAGCGCATTTTCTTTACCGATGTCTGGAGTTTTAACGTTTCGTATCAAGGACACGGCCGTCACGGCTTTAAAATATTCAGTATGATTGGTACAAAGCCCATAAATTATTACGCAAATTCGATGTTTAGGAAAAATACTAATGTATTTAATTAATACCTGATTAGCATTGCGTATGCCTATTGAATTTAACTTACGACATTGTATTAATGAATTCTAAAATCACGCTTATAATATCGAATGTCTATTGTAAAAGTGTAAAAGACGATGGGCTGATGACTTAATAAAAATAGCAGGACTGGCTGACTTTTGCCTCTAGCTATTGGAAAGTGAGGAATTTTTTACCCAAGAAGGAACCATATCCACAGGCGACTAACATTTATCTATAAGTAAACACTAACAATACTACTAACAACATTTGAAATGTTGTAGGAATATAATATGTACCTACTATTATAGGTCGAATTAAATTTCTGTAATTATTAGATTATTTAAATAATTAAAACTCCGAGATCAAGGTGACTAAATTATCTTGTTGCCGTGGTGTTATCACACCTATTCGGTTAAGACTTTTTCGTGATAAGACAATACTTTATTTATGTTACTGTGACACGTATTTATTTTTTATCGATATTGTAGTTCCGAAGGCCACACGGGGGCCGCCTATATCGACTTCTGTATTAAATGTACTATGATAAGGCACTTTAATCTATTTCTATTATATTGAAGGTCTTCAAAATTTTTAAGTATTTTACCTTGTTGTAAATGTAAAAGGGAAATTTGAAACAATATATATAATATATATATTGTTTCAAATTTCCTATAAATAATATATATATATATATATATAGACGCAAGGCAGCGGTAATAAAAATTCGGAATTCTTGCAATCCGAACACGGTTTATGTTCGTGTACTATCTTACATACCTACTGACCCAGTATTCGACATTCTGCAAATCATATAAATCGTATCTTTTAGCGCAATTGTTTTAAAATATTTCCGATAAGCTACAAGGTCGCAACATCTCCGAGTAATATACGGCGTGGTGAATAAACGCAATAAAAGTTTTAATATTTAACTAAATTGATTTTAATGCTTTAAATCGTGAAAATGAAATATTATGTAACAAATTCTTTGACCTATAAAATTTTAATATCTTTTATACGATTTTAGATAGCATATATCCCCCACTTAGTAGAAGTTATAACATTCGAGTAACCTTTACGAGTGATTAACTAATTTTATAGGCATTACGAAACGTTAATGTATGGCATGTGTGTCAAGAAGGAATAACTAAAAGTTAAACTAGAATCTAGATCATATTACCTACATATGACTGGTTTGCAACGTCTAGCTTTGGCCAGCAAAACCTACCTATATTGGGGTCACTTTACGAAATAACTTTTAGCTTTGAAGGTTTTATATAAAAACCAGAACCGATATAATGATGTACCGGTTTATTGCGGAAACGAATAAATACTGTTGCTATGGAGATCGTCGCGTCCGAATACCAGACTTTCATATTTATCTGCGTTCGCTTTAATCAAAATTAAAACTGCTAAGATTTCGCGCCTAAAACCAATATCAGCGAGACTGGAATGCGCACCGGTCAGACTGATACGATTTTTTCGACAAACAAAACCGGATCTGCAAAGAAACCGAGCAACCATCGCCAAGTTACCCTACATAAGACACGAGAATTCAAATGCAATAAACAATATTTGCTAGAGCAATCTGTCAAGATAATACGCAGGTCAAAAGCACCTAGCGCGCCGCTTATCAAAGTAGTTTATTAGGTTAACCTATAATAGACCGAGGCGGGAAATTTCGAAATCACAACGTTCCACAGATTCCAATAAAAAATACATAAAATTGTTATTACAAGTCCGAAGCGCTAGACTGTGTTTGATAGTAAACATGATTTATTATACAAAACGTTGCTACACGAAGGCATAGTACAACCGTAAAAATATATTACAATGACATAGTTACGTTACACAGTAAATTGGCGCGAAAATGTGACAGCTCTGACCGTACTCGTTTCGCGTGGTGCATGGTGCGATAAAACTGAGCATGCGTCATAAAACTTCCCGCGTTTATGCGAGTTAGTTCCTTAATAAATAAAAATGTTAAAACACATAGACGGTAATGTATATCAAATTGACGTGCTTTAGGTACTCAGTTGAAACCGGTCGAACGAGCAGCGAGCTCCACTTCAATGAGATTCCATTTCATGCCGTTGCATTCTTATGGGACTAACGGACTAGACAATCCAGGCTCACAGCGAACTATATTATTAACCTTGGCTACGCATTATAAAAAGCAACATAAACAGTGCGTTTTGAAAACATGCCCATCGCGACCTTACAAACTCTTATCGAATATCGGTATTAGCTGTGATAATACACAAAGTATAGTACTTGTGTTTAAAATGAAATATTTATACGACATTGATTCGACATTCGTCTATTGATTCCGCTGTATCCCGTCCTTGGATTGACTTGTAAAACGTTGTGTTACCTAAACAGACGTATCAATTATTCATTCAAATATGCCGTGCAAATCTAATTTGAAAAGTAATTAATTGGAGAGAAACCAGCTTGAGCATCGACTGCGCTGCACTAGTTTTCAGTTTGAGATCAAAACTTTCATCGAAGAATGAAGCGGAGCGAACAATGCTTAATTGAACAGTTTGATTTCTAATTCCTAATCAAATACGAAATATAAAATGGCGCATGAACTTTGAGGAACATATATTTAATGAGCGTCGCGACGGTTCGGCTGTTAACCCTGGAGTTCGGGAGGATTCAATGTCAGGATACGGTCGACGCACCAGCGACCTTCCATCCTTTAGAACGTTTAGTCGGTATCTGGTAATACTTCAGGGATATTAGGAAAGGTTGGGACGTTCAAGGTCGCAGTAGAAGGTTCCGGAAGCGGGTGCGTCTAGACAGAGCCGGGGGGTGCCGGTCGATACGCAGTTTCCCGCGCTACCGCGACGCCTGCGTCCTACGACCCGAGCCCATCTTGTACATTTCTTCAAGTTCTAATTAAAATACCCGAAAGACTAATCCACTTCGCAACTTTTTAGGAAAATGTTTCTAACTTGAAAATTTCGAGATTTGCAAATGTGCTTTCGACGTTCACGAAACATATTAGGGTGTACATTACATAATCTTTTTTTGTTTTTGTATAGGTAAATACATAAACAAAAAAAGATCGAAAACGTTATCGAAAATAAAACAATATTTAGCCAATTAACCGATGTGCACGTTATATTACTTCGACATTCAATGTGACATTAATTTAAAAGTCAAATTTCAATTAGGTGTTATATTTATTACACGATACGCCACAGATAACTAAACGGATTAATATTTTGACAACGTCCTCGTAAACTAATTGATTGTACTGACCTGATTCTCCCGAGTCAGATGGTGTCTGAACGCCAAGGCACTCGAAGTGTTGACGCGCCGTGTACGAATGATCTGCTGCCACGGCTCTGGTATCCCTCAACAGCCTTAAAGCTGTGCTAGTAACATCCACAACATGACGGAACGGAGGGTGCTCATCTCCGTCCAAAGTCGGTGGAGTGTCTGGTCGGGGTGGTGACATATCCCGATCCCGGCGTAGCACGCTCTCTCCAGGAGCAGCCACTCTTAAGTCCGTCGGGACAAAGGTGTTCGGCAGCCCTGTGTCTATACAGTAGCCTGCCCACATGCAATCGTGATGTACAATATTGTCTTTGTGTTCTTCAGGTGTCTCTGCTACCCTCCAATCGACTTCATTTTCCTGCATCAAGCTAAACGTCGAATCTGTGTCTATTCTCTCCGTTTCGTATTCCACTTGTGACCAGAATTCTGAAGTCGCTGATAAGGTAATGTCATCCAAGGGTTCGAAGTCCCCCCAAACGTCCAACTGGAGTATGTCAAGTGGTGGCGACATTTTCAAAGTATATCTAATTACTATCTAGTTTTAAAGCTAAGACGAACTCGTCGATATCACAGGGCCCTCTTATCACAGTACGATGCGCGCGATCAGTCCACGCACACCGCCTAGAACAAAACAAAACAAAATAATTAGTCCACTTTCACTTCTGTATTTAAAATCGTAAAATTAATTTAAATCAACCAGTAACGCACTTTATTCACTTCAAAGAAACTATTCAGTTGTACTCGAAATTGAAACTAAAAACCTAGGTTGTTGGCCTTTATATTTACAAACACTTAAACTTTTTGACAAGTGTCCACAACAAAGCCATTAACAAGACTGAAGTCTGGACGGGGAAACAAACGCTTTTAAAGGGTGCATGTCCTTGAGCATCCCAGCAATTCTAATAATAATAACTTTACCAACATTTAGCAAATCATTTTTTCTATTTCCTACCTGACGATACCACGAAGTGATAGCGTCAGGTAAAAGCTTTAGAAAGAGGCTGTTTACAAACTCAAACGGCGGGAACTTATTGTTTACCAATACTGGCGAACGTTCATTTTCCCGCTATATTGTTCATAACGCCACATAATAAGTAGTACATGCAATTGTGCAATATTTCATTTATTGTTATAATATAGTTATTTCCATTGGTGGAAAATACACGTCTAAAAGATATAGATTTTAAATATTTACAAAAACCTGAATTGTTACTGAATAGGTATTTTTTGGTAAAACATCAATTAACCTACATAAAATGGAGCGCTATTACGCTGTTCGTCTAAACATCTCAAATTGAAGTCAAGAATTCCGAACCAATTTTTCACAGTTAGGCTTATTATATTTATTTTTAATGCGACATATAGAGAAAAAATTTAAACAAGTTTATAGTGATTTTAAATTGTTAATATTGTATAATTTTCTATTATATAAATATTTTGTATTTTAATAGACTATAATATTATATAATAATGCATATTATATATGTCGATTCACCGACTTTAAAATTTCACAATATAAATGCAACATTTATATTGCGCTTCAACCGCAACCAATAAGAATTTTTATAAAAAAAATATTTATAATATAAATTTGATTATTTAGTTTTTTGTTATTTATGGAGGTGACTAAAAGTCTTAATATCTACCTTTTACATTGGTTAAAAAAATTAAATTCAAAAATTTGCAATTTTACTCTAATTTATTCAAACGAAATATTGTAAGGAACTTACTAATAAGTAGGTACCAAATACGTAACATTGTAAGGAATTTGTGCGCCAGTAATTCGCAGAAATTCCGAACCAAGCCTCGGCTTGATATCGACAACGCCCCGGTAGGTACTTGTACCATCATTAATACGTACTTCTGGCGCATAAAATACAATTTATTGACCTAATAATCACTTTCACAGTACATAAAAATAGGTATGTAAGTGACACTCACCAAAAAGTTTTTGTGCAATCCGGCTGCTACCGGCAAATTACACAATTTTACACAAGATTCTTCAGAATCTTCGACAAAGTTTTTTTCGTACACACTGCGTTACACTCACTGAGAATATGCGATTGGTACAGTGTAAATTAAAGACAGTACTTCTTCCGAGACCTCCGATTGAGTTTGTCAAACACTGAAACATTATTCGGATGCCGGTTCTTAGGAAAGCCGCGCGTGCTTTTCGTGTGACGCCGTAGACACGACTAACTGAACGCGAAGTTGCGAGCGGGAACGAGTAGCGTACCCGACCGAGTACCGGCCGCCGGCGCGGCGCTCGCCCTCCTCCCCTCTACCCGTGGCGGCCCCGCGCCGCCGGCTAATTCGATGCCATTCACGAAATTCACTGAAAATACGCGCCATCTCAAACTTCACCGACCAACAACTACACTATCAAACATCGTCCTAGGCAGGGCAGCTAATATTTTGACCAAAACGCTGAATATAACGAAGATATCTAACAAAATATCCGGCGTCTGTCGCTGCGGGGGGATACTTGAGGAAGGAAATCAGCGCAGTGGCTTTCGTCGGACATATTATAGAATATAGATGTGTGCGAAGTCGGCAGAGGCGGTTTCTGTGGGTGGAAAATCGAGCTAGGTAGCCCGTAGCGTCACTTGGCCGTCGGCTCTCGGTGAAGGAGTATGTCGCTTTTCTTTTTTACCGTCGGCTATATTGAACCTAGTCCGTCGACATTCCTAAGGTACGGGTACGTTCGACTTATGGGCTACGAGGCGAACGAGAAATACCTTAGCCATTCTGACGAATTGCAAGTCGTTATTGCTTTACGTCTGCGAAAACAATTAGGACATAACTTTTAATGCCTATTGGCCATAGGGTCGTGGGTATTTTAACTTGAGCACACGGTGAATACCTCTGTACAATGACTTCATACGAGTACTACTCATGAGAATACTAATATTATATAGTATAATAGTATTTTTGTTATGGCCTTATCAATTGCCTAATCGCATCATATCAGAGTATATAATAAGAATGGAGACAGTAATCAGGTCGCCGGATAGAGGAGCGTAATTTTTTTTAATTGTATGTTTATTTCTCTATAAACACCAAATAAGTGAAGCGATAATATGTCCGTGTGTATTAATTCAGGGGAGTTAATTAAATTATGTATAATTTACAATCTAAATATTAATTCTAGAGTGTATGTATTACGCACATAGTTTTTTATAAATACATCACACACTAGGGTTTTATTGTAATGAAAGATGTATAAAGCCGTTTAAAAATGTTTATAATATCTTTATTACATAAAATATATTACATACAAAAAAAGTAACGTCGACATAATTTATATTATTGTTTATTATCATTAATGTTATACTTTAAAAAATGACAACAGAACAAAATTAAATTTAATCTATGCATACTTCCATCTTTCCCGCCATATGGTTCAACGACTCAGCATTCCTTGCCTTGTTTCCCCGCAAATAAAATTTCAGGTTTGGAAATATGGCTTAAGAATATACATTCATATGAATAGCAAGCTACTTTAAAAGTGATATTTTTTATTTAAATATCGTAATTAGTAAGTTATAAAAGGTATTATTTGAATTTCATTGTATAAATATGTGCCATGTAAGTAAAAACATTATTTTCATTATTACACCTTGTTGCCTATTGTTTTACAATAATACTGCAATTTTTGTGCAATCTGCACAATATTGCGTAACATGATCTTAGATTTAAAGTAGGTATTGTGAAATCGCTTCCTGTGCGCCGCAGCCGTTTCAAACCGTAGAAAAATTAGATCAAGCTCACCCCAAACTCAGTGAAAGGACCCTTCAATTAATTTCCCATTCATACAACCCTTTGCCCTACAAAAAATAGATACGCGGGAAGCACCCACTTCCGAGTAACTAGCTAAAGATGTCAAACAATCTACGTGTCAGGAAGAAATGCAAATAACTCACCAAATTTATACCTTAAATCGAAAACAATACGATACTTCAATCGTCCCGATGTTTAAAAAGGGATATTAAAAACCCGTTATAATCCTATCGTTTCCCGCCTAGTTAACAAAAATAATTTTGTCACATTTTTGACATGTGACTTCTTGATGCGTTTTGACGTGTTTTTTTTTATAGAAAACATTAGGGCGTATTTTCAGCTGTGTTTATTGTCATTAAAACCTCCTTTGGTAAGATTACTAATGAATAATAATTAACTATGGGAATCATATTAAAAATAACTTTAGATTAACCATTTTTGCTTTGCAAGAGTAAAATATATATTATTGAATAATATGTAGGTTATAACTATGTAAAATTGCAGTTGGTAATTATAAAACTTTTTTCTCTTGTTTATTCGTTGCTAGGCAACCATAAGCCGCGTTAGTTTTTTTTTGTGTAGAAAACCTATCATGTATATCTTATTATCATTCGGACTAAGGAGGTTTGCGCATGAAGGTTTCACCCAGAACAAATATTTCGTGTTAAAATAAACAAATTTGTGTAAAAAAGTATATATATGTACTTGCTAATTTGTACTCAAACGTAAGGTTAGCAATTGAATTTTTTTTAATTATATATATTAAGTATTATTTTTAATTAGACCAAAATACGTATGACTAGAATTATTAGGAGCCGAAAGTCTAAATGCCATTGACTTACGCTATCGAAAAAAAATTGGATTTCTCGTGCTTCGAAAAGGTACCAATTTTTACCTGACAGTAACCGTTATTACCGACAAAGATATAACAAGACATTTCTACGAATTGCTAGGTATTAGAAAACCATTGTAGGCTCTGTGGGCTTACGTGAAAATAATACCTTTTTATTGTTCGTCATCTATTGTCTTTGATAGATGTCGAACCATAAAAGTTTTAGTTATTTAACAATATTTTGTTGAATTGTGAGTACAATTTATTCTATTGTAATATTAAAGTTTGCTTAATCCTTAAAACAATATTCATTTGTAAGACTTTTACAAAGGGAAAGTTGAACGATACCTTAACAATGCTTTATAATAAAAAAAACAGGATTAGGCCTCGTTGCAAGCTTTCTATGCTTTTGTAATCTGTGCGATTTGACCAATAGGCTATTAGCATTTCTCTCATGAACTCACTTTTCATATAATTCGTTAAAATCTGTTTTTTATTTTCTTTTATAAAAACTGTGTCTTAATGAAGAAAAATATCCAATTTGCTGCAGTCGTTCGAAAGTTGTGTTCGTTAATCTAAATTGTTTTGCCTACTAATAAAATACACGTTATGTCATGGATAATTTTAAGTCCGGTGTATTTAGGGAAAAGCTCGTTGTTTAAATATAACATTGAAATCTTAATTCCAATGTTATATTCGGCACTCGAATATTACAGAATAATCACTACTTATTCAGAGCTTGATATATTCGACAGTGGACTGATAAATTTAAAAAAAGCATCGTTAAGCAAAAAATACTAGTAAAAACTAACTACACTTTGAAAAATCTTCATTAAACTTCATTTGACGTTTTGAAACTTTATTTCACAATTTCCTAGTGATTTCTTCCTAAAACCAAT